TGCTGCCTCTCAGCCTCAGCGGACCCTGAGCCATCCCTCCCCCCACACCCCCATCACCACACCCCCATCACGTGCTCTCTGGGAAGTAAGCCTGGCCGGATCTCTCTTCTGCTTTATGTTCTTCTGTGGCTCCCACTGAGCTCGGGTTAACCTTTCGGCTTTTGCCGGTGACACCGTGGTTCCAGGCAGCCATCCTGTGCTTTGCTGTTCTGTGACGTGTGTGTGAGCCCACCTCCCCCTAAACCGCCCACGGCTGCCCTCCGGGGGGGCTGGCCTCCTGCGCACGCTCCTGCTGGTGGCCCGGGGCAGTGGGCAGAGACACTTGGTCACTAAATTACGTTTTGGGGCTTCCCCACACTCCCTGCTGCTCCATCCCAAAAGGAAGCTGGCATGACCCATTGACCTATGAACCGGGGCTGGGAGGGGTGGGGGGGAGAGTGTCACTGTTTGATTCCTGGTCAGGGCACATGTCCGGGTTGTGGGCTCAATCCAATCAATGATTCTCATTATTGATGTTTCTAATTCTCTCTTCCTTCCTCACTAAAATCAATAAAAATAAAAATAAAAAAAACAGCCGAAACCGGTTTGGCTCAATGGTAGAGCGTCGGTCTGCAGACTGAAAGGTCCCAGGTTCGATTCCGGTCAAGGGCATGTACATTGGTTGCGGGCACATCCCTGATAGGGGGTGTGTAAAATGCAGCTGGTCGATGTTTCTCTCTCATTGACGTTTCTAGCTCTGTATCTCTCCCTTCCTAGTCTTCGTGAAATATCAATAAAATATATTAAAAACAAAACAAAAACAAAACAAAAAAACCCCAAAACAAAAAACCTACAGTCACTTTCCCATGGGCCCTGCTTTATTGCTGCATTTCAATCCTGTATGGTGACCTCCCCTGTTTCAGGGTCCCCCAGGGACCAGGGAAGGAACCCCAAGTCAGGCCCCAGAACTGGTCAGCTGCTCTCTCCTCCTGGACTGCAGAAGTAGGCAGCCACCACACAGCCCTCTGCTGACCACCCCGGATCCTCAGGCACCCACGGGCCTCTGAACACTCGGTGATCTGAGCTCGGTGGAGACAATGGCGTCTCCTAGGGCTGTTGACCATCATGTGAGGGATGGTTAGAACGCCTGGCGCATACTGGGTGCTGATAGGTGGTGGTGGTGATTATTGTTGTTCACTAGCAGAGCTGCTGGGTCTACACAAGCCTCCTTGTTGCTCACCTCTGGGCCTCAGTGTGTGCTGTTCCCTCCCAACAATCTGACAAACTCCTACTTATTTAAAAAAATATATATTTTATTGATTTTTTACAGAGAGGAAGAGAGACAGAGAGTTAGAAACACCGATGAGAGAGACACATCTATCATCTGCCTCCTGCATACCCACTACTGGGGATGTGCCCCCAACCAAGGTACATGCCCTTGACCGGAATTGAACCTGGGACCTTTCTGTCCGCAGACCGACGCTCAATCCACTGAGCCAAACCGGTTTCGGCTGACAAACTCCTACTTGTTCTTCAGGATCCAGCTCCAGTGTCACCTCCTCCAGGAAGCAGCTCCGTATCCCAGCATGTTCCCGGAATGATGCATTCGGCTCCTCTCTTTTGTGGTACAGTTTACAATACACATGTGATTGCACATATACACACATATGTGGATAAAGACACATGTGATGTTTCTGTGTTCGGTCAGCCAATGAATGAAAGTGACCCTGGGCGATGCATGTGATCTTCTGGCGGCTGTTTCCACAGCTTCCAAATGAGGGGCTCAGGCTTCATTGGTCCTGCACCAGAGGGACCCACATTCTCTCAGCAAACGCCAGATGGTGCCTGTGCTGGGGTCTGTGCTCAGGGCCCCAGCCAGGCCGAGGCTGAGAGAGCCCCATCCCTCCCGATGGGGAGGCAATCACTGACGATCCGTGCAGCCCGTCTCCCGGTTCACAGAGCCTGCATCTTGGAGTATGTTGTCAGCTCTGTGCCAGCTCCCACCCCAGCCCGCGCTCAGAAACGTTACTGTGGCTTCCAATGGACTCCCAGCCTGGGAGAGTCTGGGAAGCAAGTAGAGGAGTGGGGGTGCGCCTTGGTGTTTAAAATGACCCACAACAGCCCTGACTGGTTTGGCTCAGTGGATAGAGTGTCGGCCTGCAGACTCAAGGGTCCTAGGTTCGATTCTGGTCAAGGGCATGTACCTTGGTTGTGGACACATCCCCAGTAGGGGGCGTGCAGGAGGCCCCTGATGGATGTTTCTCTCTCATCAATGTTTCTAACTCTCCCTCTCCCTTCTTCTCTGTAAAAAAATCAATAAAATATATTAAAAAAAAATAAAAAAGACCCACAATGATGTTCACTAGTGTTAGGGGTCCATGATCTGCCGTTACCGTTTCCATGACAAGCCAGGGCTTTCATGACCCAAGGTTGAACAAGCACGTACACTTGACATTCTTGAGTTCCTGGCTCAGGGCACTGGGTCTGTGGGGCCATGAGTATTCTAGGGGGCTTGGTGCCATTTGCTGGGCCCTGGGGGATTTTTTTTTTCTTTCCTTTTTTTTTTTTTTTTTTTGTTCTGGTGGCTCTGGCTTTACTTCAGGCGCTCATCTAAGCTCTGGGCCTTTGCCACCTCCTATGGTGCTAGCCTGTTCCGCCCAGGCCTGTCCAGCATGGTGCTGGGAGCAGACCCTGTCTCTCAAAGCACCAGGAGCCTCATCTCCAGACTGTCTTTGCCGCACCATGGGGATGTGAGGGGTGCTCCTGTGGGTCTTGGCCATGGAGCCCCTGGTTCCACAGGCCCACCTGGGCCATGTGTGGGACCCTCAGCTTCCCTGGGGCTTAACCCTCAAAGCTATGCCCTTGAGGCTCATCCTCTCACCTCCCCCTGCCCCCTCCTGACCATCCATCGGCAAAGAGGGGCTGGTGGGTGGGGAAGGAGGTCCTGAATCTGGGCCTCTCTGTGCCCACGCCCCTCCCCCCAATCCCTCTCCACATATGGTCCGGGAGTGAGCCTCTTAAAAGGCAAACTGGGTCATGGTGCTTCCTGCTAACCCCCATGGCTTTCCCAGCTGCTTTAGAATCACGCATGAGCTGGTCCCGCCAGCCTCATCTCCCATCCCGCCTCCCAGGCCCAGCGCTTGGCCCAGCCCCAGCCCCAGCCCCACTGGCGCTCCCGGAATAGGCCGATTACCCTGGTACTAGCTTTCCCCTCCAGCCAGAGTGCCCTTCCCTCTTATCTTTGTCCTTCTTTTCGCTCCGATCTCAGATTATAAGCACCTGGTCCCAGGTCCGCCCTGACTCTGGGATCTAAAGTGACTGATTATCACTTTCTGTGGCCGGAGCTTATTACAGCCTCCTGGTTAACTCATTTATTTTCTCTCTTCCCTTCTCCCGGAGGGCAAAGTTCCCTCCGGGAGCTGTGGCTGCAGCTGCCGTCCTCTGCGGAAGCCCTGGTGGTGGTGGTGGTGGTGGAGGAGGAGAGAGGGGGAATAGTCTAGCTAGAGTAGGTGCTGGGTGGTGGCTGGTGCATGGCTGAGCCGCTGTAAACGGGGACATCAGCTGGCGCGCGCTCCGGGCTGCGGCCGTTCCCGGTCGGGAACGCGGGTTTTATTGATCTCCCCGCGGGTCCCCGGAGGTCCACGCCCCCCTCCGCTCCGCTCCCAGCAGACGCGCCATCCGTGCGCTCCGGGGACGCGGAGATAACGAGGCAGACTCCCCGGCTGCGGGAAGGGGCGCAGCTGCCGGCTACCCCGGCGGGGAGGGGCTCTGCGGCCGGCTTCGCGCCCGGCAACCCCGGCGGCGTTCAGGCTCCGGGAGAACCGGAGATTCTCCCCGGAGTCCCCGGGACGCGTGGCCCGCCGGGTGGGCGGGGAGCGGTTCTCCAAGGGGCGGGGGGCACATTCCCCGCGGCGCCCTCGCCCCCGTGGGGCAGGGAAGTGGGTACGGACGTCGCTCCTGGACGCGGCTGGCGAGGCCCTGACCTCCCGGTGCACCGACGCCGGAGCCACAGTCCCCGGCGGGAGTGGGGACGCGGCCCCGCTGCGCCCTCCGGGGGGCGTGAGCCGGGGGCAGGGTAGGGGACAAAGAGCCGCCCCGCCGCCGGAAGGGCGACCCCCATGTCAGAGTCCTATTGTCTGGTGCGTGGCTCCGGCTGCGCTGGGCCCTGGTGCCCTGGGAGGGGGAAGGGGACATGTCCTCGGGATCCAGGGTGTCTGTTTTTGTGGGGCGGGGGAGGGCGGGCGGGGCGCGCAGGCTGGAGAGGGGGCTCCGCGCTCGTGCGCGTCTCCTTTAAGGGAAGCCCAGCCCTACCTTTCCCACCGCCGCCCGCCCCGCTCGGTACCTGCATTTTAAAAGCGCCCTGGAGCCCCGGGATTGGCCCGGGCCGCGTCCTCCCGGAGCCGAAACTTGAACCGCCGGCGGGAGGGGGGGGCGCTGGAAACCCCAGGGGTGGGTCGTACCATCTCGGCAGCGGCCCCCGCGCGCGCCCCGCCCCGCCCACACGCCCTCGGAGCGGCCCAATCGGACGGGCCGGAGGGCGGGACCGCGGCTCGGATGCGCCTATGGCGGGGGCGTAGGGCGGGCGAGCGCACCGCGGAGGGGGGGACGCCGGAGCCCGGGCGCGTCTCCGCTCGCCTCCTCGCTTTCCCTGGAGGCGGGGCCGGGGCGCGGCACCCCGCCTCCTCCCCGCCCGGAGTGGGCGGGGCGGCCGGGGCTCCGGGAGCTGGGCCGGGGGCGGGCCTCCCCGCCTGCCTGCGCCCGAGCCCGGAGAGAGCCCGGCGCGGCGGCCGCACACTCACCGCCGCGGTCTCCGCTCGCCGGATCCGCAGGCGCAAGGTTCCCCGGCGGCCCGAGTGCGCGCACCGTGAGGACACGCCGGGCGGCGCGGCGCGGAGCGGAGCGGGCCGCCCTCGCCCCCGCCGGTCCCCCTCCCACGCGCGGACCGGCCCGGCGCAGCCCCGGCGCGGGGAGCGCTGGCCGGGCGAGGAGGGCGCGGGCGATGCCGCGGTGACGGCCCCGCCATGGCGAAGCCCCCGGCGGCAGCGGCGGCCGCGGCGGCGGCGGAGGAGCTGAGCCAGGTGCCGGACGAGGAGCTGCTGCGCTGGAGCAAGGAGGAGCTGGCGCGGCGGCTGCGGCGCGCCGAGGGCGAGAAGGTGGGCCTCATGCTGGAGCACGGCGGCCTGATGCGCGACGTGAACCGGCGGCTGCAGCAGCACCTGCTGGAGATCCGCGGCCTCAAGGACGTGAACCAGCGGCTGCAGGACGACAACCAGGAGCTGCGCGAGCTCTGCTGCTTCCTGGACGACGACCGGCAGAAGGGGCGCAAGCTGGCGCGCGAGTGGCAGCGCTTCGGGCGCCACGCGGCCGGCGCCGTGTGGCACGAGGTGGCCCGCTCCCAGCAGAAGCTGCGCGAGCTCGAGGCGCGCCAGGAGGCCCTGCTGCGCGAAAACCTGGAGCTCAAGGAGCTGGTGCTGCTGCTGGACGAGGAGCGCGCGGCGCTGGCAGGGGGCGCGGGCGGCCCTGGCGGCGGGGGCGGCGGCGCGGGCTCCCGCAGCTCCATCGACAGCCAGGCCAGCCTGAGCGGGCCGCTGGCGGGCGGCGCGGCGGGCACGGGGGCCCGCGACGTGGGCGACGGCAGCAGCACGTCGAGCGCGGGCAGCGGCGGCAGCCCCGACCACCACCACCACCTCCACCACGTGCCGCCCCCGCCGCTGCCCCCGGGGCCGCACAAGATCCCCGACGGCAAGAGCGCGGCCACGCGCCGGTCCCTGGACGACCTGTCGGCGCCGGCGCACCACCGGAGCATCCCCAACGGCCTGCACGGTAAGCGCGGCGGCGGCCCCTCCCCTCCCTCTCCCGGCCGGGGGGACCTCGGGTCCAGGGCAGCAGGGCGTTGGGTGGCGTTTTTCTGGTCGAGGGATGGAGGCGTGGCCCCGGCCAGCCTCTCATCCGCAGGCAGGCGGGACCTCAGACCCCAGAAAAGTTTGTCTCCTTCGGGGTCATCAGCGTGAAGGTCCCGCACTGCAGGGCTGTCAGGGAGGGAGCGGGTGGGGCGGGGAAGAGCGCTTGATCTCGGCCAGGAAATCCCTATCCTCCAGCCCAAAGCTCACAGGCAACAAACAAACAAACACCCCCCGCCCCCGCAAAAAACAAAACAAACAAAAACAGGCCTTTACAGCTCCTGTGAATTTCCCCTCTGATGGGGAGCAACAGGCTGTCCCAACCAGCCCTGCACCCAGGAGTGCCTTGGGGCTGGGATTAAGCCTGGGCCTCCAGGGGCTGCCTGTGGGTTGGGAAGGAGCACAGGCAGCCTGGGAGAGGCTCTAAGACTTGCCAGAGGGATGTGTACGCTTGGCTCCGCGTTGTGCCTCAGTTTCCTCACCTGTAGCATGGGGACGGTGATCCCTGCCTGGGAGAGGTGAGGTGGAGAGAAAGCTCCCGCAGGGTTTTATCAGCTGTGGGTGCCGTCCAGGAAGTGCCAGGCGGTGGGTGGCAGGGTGTGGGTGGGAGGACCTTTGGCCCCAGGAAAGCTCAGCTGCTGTCTTCCTCGCCTTGTGACTGCGGGCCCAGGGCCTGACACCCCCGGCTGGGGCTGCGGACCAGGGCAGGGACACCCCCTCCCAGCCCTCTGGTGAGGGGCCCTCCCCCCTGCTGTCTCTTCCCTGCCTCCCGGTTTTTCCACATTTTTGGGTGGCTTGGCTCCCGGTTCTGCGGTTCTGGTGGCAATCGCTACTACCTAAACTATATGCCCGAAGGTGGGTGAAACAGCTCTTTCTGGTTCTTTTTAAAAATATATTTTAAAGAGGAAGGAAGAGGGAGAGAGAGATAGAAACATAAAAAAATGAGAGCGAATCATGGATCAGCTGCCTCCTGCACGCCCCACATTGGGATGGAGCCTAAAACCTGGGCATGTGCTCCGACCAGGGAAGGAGCCATGACCTCCTGGTTCAGAGGTTGATACTCAACCACTGAGCCACACTGGCTGGGTCCTTTCTGGTCCTTTCAAAGGCTTTCCTCGTTCAGAGAAAACCTATTAGGCCTTAAGTGACGATTCTTCCCCTCCGCGACAGCCTCAGCAGGGGGGGACGCGCTCTGTCTGTGGTTTTTGATGGCCAAGTGGCCTCTGCAGGCGCCTCGGGGTGGGGTGGGAACTGGGCCCAGGAGATGGGGTGCTATAGTGTCGCACAGTTTTTCCTTTATTTACCTCCCCAGCCAGCGAGTTCAGGGCAGGACTGGGTTGAGAGGGATATTTTGTTACTGATTAGCAATCTACGACCACAACTCGGGTTACTTTCGGTAACTCTGTATCCAACCCCACCTCCCACCGCCAGCTCCTTAAGGCCAAAGCAGTAGCTCCAAGTTGACTTTGTCGGGGTTTCGGGGCTTGGAGAGTGCGGGGCCCTTGTCCCAGCCTCTCTGGCCTAACCTTCGGGGGAGGGGCGGGGGGGAGATCCGGTGTCTGGACCTTCCAGGTGCAGTGCGGAGGAGGGGACTGCTGTAGCCCTGTGGCTGGGACGGGAGGCATTGCTGGTTTTTTATTTATTTATTTAAAATATATTTTATTGATTCTGTGCAGAGAGGAAGGGAGAGAGATAGAGGGTTAGAAACATCCATGAGAGAGAGTCATTGATCAGCTGCCTCTTGCACACCCCCTACTGGGGATATGCTCGCAACCGAGGTACATGCCCTTGACCAGAATCGAACCCGGGACCCTTCAGTCCCCAAGCCGACGCTCTATCCATTGAGCCAAACCGGTTTCGGCCATTGCTGGTTTTGAGCTGTGTCGTGGGTGGCACTTGGCGAGAGTGGCTCCCTGCAGGGCGCTGAGGTGCTGAGGTCCTGGCGTATTTGCAGGGGAGTCTGGTGGCGTCTGCCGCGGGCCCCGGTCTGGCGCAGCGTGTGGGTTGCAGTTGGCAGGGATGCAGGAGTGGAGGACTGGGCTGGACCTGAGGGTTTCCACCCCACGGGGGTGGGTGGGGGTTGAGGAGTAGGGTTTCCTGCAGAGCCCATGCCCCATGCCTCCCCCCCACCCCCTTATACCGAGTCTCTTGCACACTCGGGGCAGGGCTGCCACAGACGGAGATGGCAACGCTGTGACAGTCCTGTTGGGCATCGTTATCGCCGATCTCAGTGCCAGACAGGATTGCCATTGTTTAGTTTTGTCTCTGAAGTCATGTGTGGCCTTGAGACGCTCTCCCCACATGAATAGGATGCCTGGAAGCCAGGAAAGGCCCCTTCGGAGCAGTGCCGCTCTGTCCTCAGACCTGCAGCTTGAGGTTGAGCGCAGAGCAGGCTGGGGGAGGTGGAAGGGTCTCCGGTCCAGGCGCCGGCCTCCCCCTCCCCCCCGGGCTCTCCTGCTGGGCGGTGGGCTGGCTTGCCTCTGTGGCTGCTGTCATGCTGGCTGATACCGTTATCAGGAGACACTGGCGAGTCCCTATTCTTGATTCCTGACCCCGATTTGCCCCTCTTCCCCCACCCTGGAAAGTGTCACTTCCTTATCAGGGACCCCTGAGCAGATGGTTGATAAACCCCCGTTACCTGGAGGGGGTCAGTCCATCTGGGGTTCGCCGCCTCTGGTCTTTGCACGGTACTGGGTCTGACTGGGCCTCTGCTCCTCCCGCAGCACAGGGCAAGCCCCGAGGGCCCCTTCCCACGGCGGGCAGAGGGCGAGGGAGCCAGGTCTGCCCAGGGCCGGGCTCAGCAGCTGTCTGAATCCTCTTCGGGAATATTCTCCCCAGGGCTCCTCCGGAGAAACCCGTGGGGACGCTTTTGGGGGCTCACACAGGCGGCTCCTCTGAGTGGCTGTGTCTGGGCCTGTGTCTGGCTGCACCTGCCGATGAGCCCAGGGGAGCTGCGGGGTACCTGGCCGCTGGCGGGGTGCCCTGAGGCCCCAGGAGGCTGTGGCGGGATGTGGTCCATCCTGGGGGGCTGGTGGGCCTCTGAATGGGTATGCAAATAGCACCCCCACCCCTCCTTCTCCCGGTGATTTTGACTGAGGGCCAATTATAATCTGGACTTGAGGGCTCCTTACTCTGACCCAGCGGGGCACCCTGAGGCCCGTGAACCCCAAACGCCAGCGAGTCAGGCTGTCCCTGGAACTGATGAGGTTTCAAACAAAAGCATTTCCAGCAATTCTTCCTTGCCCTTCCCCCATCCCGCATGCCCCCTCCTCCCCTCTCCTCCTCCCCTCCAGCTTGTCCCTGTGCATGTCAGTCCCGGTCCCTCCCCCACCCCGGCCGCACCCCTGGAGCTCACTGGGGAACCAGGACCTCCAGCATGCCTGGGAACCACGGCCCTGTTTACTTTTTAAAGTTAGGGTTTAAGATGTGAGCTTCTCAAAATAATGCGGGTTTGTTCTCTGGCGGGTGTTCTTGTTGGTTTAAAGGGAGGGTCAGGCGGGGGTGTCTTGGCCTTCAGGGGAAGATAGATGGCTCAGCCGGAGAGGGGCCGGCCGCCCAGCTCAGGCCTCCTGCGCGGCCTCCTCCACCGGCCGGCTCCTCAGGAGGCTCTTCCGAAGCCCAGCCCGGCCCGGAGCAAAGGTCAGCGAAGACAATGGCGGGTTCGATAAGCCTGTCCACTCCCTCCCGAGCCGAAGCTGAGCCTCCGTCAGCAGCCGTGGGGGCTGGTCTTGCACAAAAGGAGCTGGGACTCCGGGGAAATTTATGTTCAGAGTGCCCCATGGTCCCATATCAGAGATGGGCAGACTGAGGCTTGGAGAGGTCCAGGGACTTGCTCTGGTCCCACTGGGCTGGTGGTGGTGGTGGTGGGGCCTGGGCTCCGTCTTGGGTCTCCTGTGTCAGATTAGCCACCTGTCCTGTGCCTGCTGCCCCTCTGGGCTGGGACAGGCTTGGGGGAGAACTGGAGGGACCCCCCCCCCCTCAAGGGAGGCCCACCAGTGGTGGATGGTCTCCCCAAATTTGATCCTGGCAGAGCCCCAGGGTGGGACACGTGTGGCAAAAGTATGGCGCCTCCCCTGCAGAAGTGGGCCCTCAGCCTCACCCTGGCGAAGACAGGAGGCAGGCGCTGCCCCGGCTCCTGGCACTGGAGCTGCCTCACCCTCTCACCTCCTTTCCTCCTTTTTCTGTTGTTAATCCGCACCCGAGGGTGTTTTTTACACAGGTTTTCACAGGGAGCAGGAGGAAGGGGGTGGGGGGAGAGGAAGAGAGAGAGACGTCTACGTGAGAGAGACATATCGATTGGTCACGTCCCGCAGGTGCCTGGCTGGTCAGGGCCCTGCAGCCAAGGCCCATGCCCGTGACTGGAATTGAACCCTCAACCCTTCTGTCCAGGGCTCTCCTCCCCTCGTGAGCTTCATCCCCTCACTCGGTCAGCTCGGCTTCCTTCTGCAGGGGCCTCAGCCCCACCACCGTGCCCCGGCCTCTGAGCTCCTAGAGAGGAGCAGGGTTAAAGATAGTCCTCCTCCTCCTCCCCCCACACACACCCCGGGACTTTCCACACACGCTTGTCCGGGCGTCAGGGCGAGTGGGGGAGGCCCGGGCCCTCCGAGGGCCTCAGCTTTCTCCCTGCCAAGCGGGGAGCTGAGACCAGCCTTGGGTGGTGGTGGGGCCTGGGCGGGGAGGGGGTGAGGGGAGAGCAGCGTACTGTGTGCTTAAGCCTGGAAGGGCAGCTGCGTCTGGACACGCTGATGCTCTCCACCTGGCGGGCGCACTCAGTGCTGGGCGTGCTTCGGGGCAGGGCTGCCAAATGGTTAGGGCTCCGGTTCCAGGTCAAGAGACCTGGCAGGAGTGGGAGGTGCAGGGGGGTAGTCCTGGCCTTGCCACCTGATGCGTGAGTGGGGCAGCTCCCTGGACGTGATGAATTTA